CTCTGAATCATTAACCTCATTTACAAAACACGCAGGCACTCGTCTGACGAGAAAATTTTCGATTAAAAGATTTAGAACTCGGTTTTACCTTGTTCTCTCGATTTAGCTGTGCTAATTTTTGGATTTGGGGCAGGCCACCAGTTATTTAACCTCTTTTCATAATTTTCATCTCCGACGATGTCGAATAAACTACTTATCAATGAACCCTCTCAATGATCCCATGCTTAAAGAATTCCTGATCAACACGGCGACAGGCCCAGCTCTAAGGTGCATCCTCTGAATTCTCTTAGCAAGTGGAACCAAGATTTGATAGCGAGTTAAATTAACTTAGTCCATATTCGGGCCTTGTATCATTAGCCAAAAGGCCTTGCATAGCATAGTTGCTTATTCTACATATTTTGATGTATCCTATTAGCATCGCCCAGTAGCCTTGTATCATCAATGCATCCAGCGAACTTTTGGGTAACTACTAAACTCCTCCATTTGAATTGTGATTTCTGAATAACTTTCATTGGCCAAAAACTTCTTTTAGAGGTGTTATTAGAGGCTAACTGGGCCTTGGCCAAGATGATTTTTCTTATTGTTGAACTTAGTTCCATTTCGAATGAAAATGATTTTTCTAGCCTCTTGTGCAGCCTCCTAATAGATAAAAAGCATAGTGATACCGATTTGTTTGTCCAGGTCATATTTTGTGTTAATTTATTTTCCCCCATTTTTCCTATTTTACTAGATTTTGTGTTCCTCAATTTCGTACTATGTACCAGCCCTCGCTTATTTCACTCATTTTTATTTATTACTATTATAGGTTACCCCGAGATCACTTCGCCTTTAAGAGAATCAAGCTGCCTGGATAAGGATTGTCCAAACTCCAAAATCCACGAGTTTCGTTGCGGGATCGATTTATCACCCTATTCGGACCTGAAAACTGAATTGATATGGGAACTAGGTGGAGTGCCGATCGGTCGTATGGACAAAACAGATCCCCGCTACTCCTATGTGAAACAGAAAGACAAGGTTGGTCGAAGATGAACTTCGGCTGTAGTCTTATCCGCTCCTAATTTATGAAACAAAATTCTGAGCCACAGCATTGGCAAAAAGGATTTGAGAAAAATGAATTAATCGTGTCATTTGATAATATAGTTAGATTGCATTGTCATTAGGATTATCTTAAATCTAATCCATAAGGCCAACCTACTTTCTACCTAGAAGTTATTTGACCTTGTTTCCACAACTTGGTCATATTGGGGGGAAGGCTATGAGGAGTCCGGAGTCCATAGTATGCATGATAATTTCCAGAGTCGGACCGTGGATTTGGTACATTACCAGACATCTCGCCGGCATCGTCAGTGAGCCTTGCCATGCATACTATGGACTCAGGACAATGTACGTTCCTCAAGGTCTTCCTGCCAATATGACCAAGTTATGAAAGCAAGGTAAAGCAACGTCTATACAACGAAAGAAAACCGCAACCATACAAAAGTGCACGCCATCCTGGTCTTCACACCGATTACTTTCCTCCTATTGACATGAGACCAAATTGTGGACCACATGCTTACATTTTGATACAAATGAGAAGAATTGTGGTTTGATTCTTAATGCACAACTACCTCCTTAACATCGAACAGATTTCTTAAGCCCATTCGATACCATGTGTTCGTAAAATGCCAAAAAATATTCCTGAATTTACAC